TAATTTTCTTATTATATTTTCTTTCATACGAGCCGTTATTGTATATCCGAAATTAAATATTTAATACCGTGTCGTACTATGGAAAATATCGATCTAATTTGCTTGTTACATTTTCTTTCATACTAGCCGTTATTAAATGCACAGAATCAAATATTTAATACAGTACATTCACACATCTATGGAAAATATCGAACTAATTTTCTTATTATATATTCTTTCATACGAGCAATTATTATATACATGGAATTAAATATTTAATATCGCATCATACATACGCTAATCTATGAAAAATATCGATACAATTTTCTTATTATATTTTCTTTCATACGGGCAATTATTATGTACACAAAATTAAATATTTAATATCGTGTTTGAGTAATTTTCTTCTTATTTTTTCTTTCATCGGGGCTATTATTATAAACATGGAATTAAATATTTAATATTAATTTTCATGCCATTTTTTTTTTTCTTGTTGTTTTTTCTTTTATTCTTTAATTCCATTAATATTATTAATAAATGTGGCTTGAACGGGCAATTATTTCCCCCATTAATAAATATTTTAATTTTGTAGTTAGATGGTTAAGTTGAATTAATAACCTTAAATTTTATATTCGGTTTATAATTATATTTAAATTCTTAAAAATTTCAATAATACTCTTATTTTGAACGATGAAATATAAAAAAGATTAGAATGCATTAAAACCGAATAATTATCATAAAAAGACAGAGAAAAAACAAAATATATAAAATATTAAAATATATTAGAATTTATAATCAATAATTATCATAAAAGCGATAGAATACAAAATATTTAAAATATTATAATTTAAGACAATAACTATCTTCTTACTTCTTTTTTCACTATCCATCTAAACAAAATTTAATAGTCTAAAGCCGGACTAGCCGAGTGAAATGGACATAACGAGCAAATTAAATTAGATTATTTATGTTTAGTTTTTTAGGTGGATTAAAATGTTTTTTACCAAAAAAAATTAAACTAGGGTTAAAATGTAAGTTAGAAAATTTGAAAGGTAATTAAATGAGGTAATTAGTACTTTATTTTTTAAAAAAATACAAAAATATCCTTGATTCAAAAGAATATTTATTAAAATTTAATATCCGGTAAATTATATATTAAACCCAACCACTTGCATTATAAAGTTTGGGTTAATTTTCTAAAATTTGGTATGTTTGGTTCGGGTTTCGAGTTCGATAGACAAAATTTTGGGCTGACCCGAACAAAACAAAATCTTATAAAATGTATTAAGATAATCTGCGTATTCATAGAGTTGCAAGAGTAGTAATTGAGCGGTCCTATAATACTTACATGCGCATATGAATTCGGTTAAATATAATATTATTTTATTATTTTATTTAGTTTAAAGCAAATATGATTTTTTATTTTATAAAAACTATCCCAATATTTTATACTATTTTAAACCCATTATTTAAAAGACAACTATCATTATTAATTTAAATAAATTAAAAAAATTTATAGTTTTAAAATTTTATTCAATTTAAAATTTTAAAAATATTCAATAAATTGACGTTGTTCGTGAAATTTCAAACACCTATTATGCTTTAGATCCCGACAACTGAAAAACTCGTACGGTTTGACATAAATTAAACAAAATTAAACCTCTAATTGCGAGATTAGAAATTATTAAAAAAAAATGAACAATTTTGGACGATTTAATATAAAATATATTAAACGACGACAAATACAAAATATTTAAAATATTATAATGTAAGGCGTAATAAAAACGATGTGTTTATCGAACGGGACGAAAACTACTCGAGAAATGGTTAGCAATCTGAGGATGAGTGCGGATAGCAGAAATAGGAAGGACCCTGTAAGCAAGCCAATCATCGTTATGATCCCAATGCATCAGAATCTCGTCTCCCACCATGTGCCCTTGTCTTTCGAAGTCCCAACTGATATGAAACTCTTCATCTGCCACCCTCTTCATGACTGTTTTCATGATTTTGTTTGTGCTCACATCAAACAGGTTGATCTTAATGCCTTTCCTCGCGTCTGTCATGACTCGGTTCACTTTTTTTGTTGGCCAATGATCAAGCAAATTCTGCTTGACATCCAGTTCCCCATTGTTTAGTTGCAATATTTTTTCTTCCTTCTCTCGTGCGTCTAGCATTTTGCTCATCGTCCACGTCATCTTTCGTTTCGTTTTGTGTATTCGTTTCTTCGCTTCTCAATTGCTAACTCACTCGCCTGTCGTTATTATATACATAGGAGGTATACACTAATCTAAGAAAAATATCGATATAATTTTCTTGTTATATTTTTTTTCATACGAGCAGTTATTGTATACATGCAATCAAATATTTAATATCGTGTCGTGCACACATCAATCTCTGGAAAATATAAATCTAATTTTCTTATTATATTTTCTTTCATACGAGCCGTTATTGTATATCCGAAATTAAATATTTAAAACCGTGTCGTACTATGGAAAATATCGATCTAATTTGCTTGTAACATTTTCTTTCATACTAGCCGTTATTAAATGCACAGAATCAAATATTTAATACAGTACATTCACACATCTATGGAAAATATACTAATTTCCTTATTATATATTCTTTCATACGAGTAATTATTATATACATGGAATTAAATATTTAATATCGCATCATACATACGCTAATCTATGAAAAATATCGATACAATTTTCTTATTATATTTTCTTTCATATGGGCAATTATTATGTACACAAAATTAAATATTTAATATTGACGTAATTTTCTTTTTATTTTTTCTTTCATCGGCGGGGCTATTATTATAAACATGGAATTAAATATTTAATATTAATTTTCAATGCCATCTTTTTTTTTTTTCTTTTATTCTTTAATTCCATTAATATTATTAATAAATGTGGGTCAATTATTTCCACCGATTAATAAATATTTTAATTTTGTAGTTAGATGGTTAAGTTAAATTAATAACCTTAAATTTTATATTCGGTTTATAATTATATTTAAATTCTTAAAAATTTCAATAATACTCTTATTTTGAACGATGAAATATAAAAAAGATTAGAATACATTAAAACCGAATAATTATTATAAAAAGACACAGAAAAAAACAAAATATATTAGAATTTATAATCAATAATTATCATAAAAGTCATAGAATACAAAATATTTAAAATATTATAATTTAAGACAATAAAAATTGTGATCTATTCAACCCGATGAAAACTACTAAAGAAATGGTTAGCAATCTGGGGATGAATGCGGATGGCAGAAATAGGGAGCACTTTGTAAGAGAGCCAATCATTGTTACTATCCCAACCCAATAGAATCTCATCTCCCACCACATGCCCTTCGCTTTCGAAGTCCCAATTGATATGGAACTCTTCACCCGCCACCCTCTTCATGACTGTTTTCGTGGCTATGCCTGTGTTGACATCGTACAGGGTGATCTTCACGCCTTTGTTTGTGTCGGTCAACACTTGGTTCACTTTTTTTGTCGGCCAAAGATCAATTCTTCGCTGCTAAATGGCTAACCCACTCCCCCACCGTTATTATATAGACGGGATCAAATATTTAATATTACGTCGTGAATACGCTAATCTATGGAAAATATCGATATAATTTCCTTGTTATATTTTCTTTCATACCGGCAGTTATTGTATATATGGAATAAAATATTTAATATTTTGTCATACATACGCTAATCTATAGAAAATATCAATTTAATTTTACGTGAGATTATTATATTCATTTCATTAATATTATTAATAAATCTGACTTATTATTAATAGCAAGGACTACTTGTGATGTAACTAAAATCTGAGCGGCAAGATACTCGTAAAAGAATCTTTTTGGTATTTACGCCGATTAATAAATAATTTAATTGATTTTTAAAATGAATATAGTTAAATTAGAGATATCCATGAGGTTAGATGGGTCGGAATTGGGGATCGACATTGTTCCTAGTCCTATCTAGATAATTGAAAAACTATCCGCATACTTTTTTCTCAACTTCATTTAAACAAAAATTTAATGGCTTGAAACATGGCTTGTCCAGATAGATTTAGAATTTTTCTTTTGCAAAAATTAAATAATATTTCATATAAATGTTGAAATAAAACATTTTAAATTTTAAAATATAATTAAATTAATAAAAATAACCCTTTATTTAAAAAATACTTCTAAACTTTTAAAAATTTCAACAAGTTTTAAATAAATATATACATTAACGGGCTATTTTGTAGAAAGATAAATTAAGTTAATTCTACTTTTAAAATTTTACATATTATTTTTTTAAAGTTCAAATATATTTTTGAAAAAAAGAGAGAAACTGTTTCCATTCAAAACTAACGGTGAGTAGAGATGTCCATAGGGTAGGGTGGAGATGAGTAAGCCTTCTCTGTCCCCATTCTAGCCATTTAATTCATTTCTGCAAAAAAAATTCTCATTTATTTTTGGGAATGGAAATGGAATTTCCCACTAACTATTGATGGAATATGGTTTCCCACAAGTAATTTTCTTATTAAATAATGGTAAAAAAATTCTAATAAAATAAGCAAACCTATTTTAACCTAATTTCTAAAAATTCAAATTTTAATATTATAAAATAATTTTTAACCATTAAAAAATATATATAACATCCTTTTTAGCTTAAATATTATTCTTACGGTCTCAAAATTATATATATATATATAATTATTTATATTAAGTTGAGTGAAAAATTGGGTGTGGACGGAGACAGAGAATATAATCCTATGTTCGACCCCATTTACCTAACAGCAAACAGAAATATTCCTCACTCACTCTCCGAGTATTGGTCCAAGCCAGGAATTTCCTCACGGCTCAAATAAAATGGACATCCTGAAATGATAATTTATTTTTAGAATTTTTTTGAAAGTGCAGAGGTATTAATTATAAAGTTTTGAAATATTTTAATTTAAGCTTATCAGAAAAATTATATAATTAAAAAATCCGAACCCTTTTTTGGTTTCCATTCTTTGCCTCTCAGTCGCGCGAATTCTTCTCCCTCCACCAGCGCACTCTCCCAAATTTTCTTCTTCCGTCTCCCTCACTACGATAGGTGTCCGCCGGCACCCCCCTCCGCCACAGCCTCTGCCATACGCCGACTGCCACGACCACACGCCGGTGCGTGCATTCCTCCATTTCTCTCTTCTTTCTTCTCTCCCTATCTCGCTTTGCTGCAACTGCCTAGTACACCGTCTCTATTTTGTCTCTGCCGCACCATTCACTGCATTCTTCTGCACCTCTCGTTGGCGCGTCCAAACTGAATCTTCCACTCTCCTGTTCTCTCAATCATATCCGAGCTCATTTTTTTCCTAATTTTTTTTGTTCATTTTGTTCTCTTTTCTTCAATTCAACCCATTCAGAAAGCAGGGCGAAGTCGGGATTCGGTTAACGTCCATTTTAAATCCTGCGAAGTCCGAGCTATTCCAGACGGAATTCTTGTTGGTACAAAACAGTATTTCAAATCAGATTGAATTTGAAATTCTGTTTTTCTATATCCAGACACTGGAAATGATTTCAAACCTGTTCTGATTTCAAATCCTCCCATATCTGAGGGTTCGAAATTGGGGGTAAGCCTCACGCTCGGTTGAAGCCATTCCAAAGTCCCGCCATGGAAGCAGCGCCTATCTGCACTCGTCTTTTCCCTACTAAACCTTCAAAGTTTCGAGGTTAGCTTCCTGAATTCGGTCGTGGGAAAGTATTATTACGTAATGAAAATGACAAATAGTTAAATTATAACGTTATCCTCTGCGTATTTCATTTGATAGTGTTTGTTCTTGTGAAAGTAGAGTGGTTGAATCTTATATTCATGAATTGTTTTAATCGAGTTTGTTTCGCTGTTGAATTAGCTTGTAGGTGAAATTACTTCACTTTCATAAAGATTCCAATTGTTTGTTAAGTTCAACTCCATTGCATATCTATTGTTTATACCTCACAAACATGTAGCATTTTATGGTTAAACTTAGTACCATATTTTAACTCCATCCTTTATGGACGACTTGTTTATCCATGATTTCAAGACCTAATATTTTTATTTGGCTAATCTTATGGTTTTAAAATGTCGCAAATTGTAACAACCTAATGTGCACGTATTTCACAATATAATATTCACTAAGCAATGAGAGAAGAAGATGAGAAATGATGAGGGTGTTTGCCTTTGATGCTATGATCATCCGTCTCTTTTCATAATGTTCAGATATCTTAGGTTCGAACTGGAAAATCTATTTTGTATTTTCCTTTTATATCAGAAATGCTTCCAGATGCTATGAGTATACTTTGATGAGGTGACCAACAATCAATTTACTATTTGGTTGTCAGCTTAGGATAGTGGTTTAATTCTCACATCACCACCATGTATTTATTCGATATACTGCAAACACTCATTTTCCTCCCAGGATTAAAATCTCTATACTATGATATGATTCATGTCTAATCGATTCTGCTGTTGACCATGGGAGTTCGCTTTGCTACAAAATAATGTTTTGCATTAAACACGTGTTATATGGCCTCACTTGGCTGCTTTCGTTCTTACAGTTGCTGCAGCTTATGATGTCCAATTCTGTCCTTTGAAGTTTGGTAGATCTGCCGCTGTTATTAATTTCAACTCTCTGAAATGCAAGGGAAGAAATAATGTGTTATTGAGTAGACCTTTTGTCTCTAAAGTGAACGAAAAGTCGTTTGATTGTTTGTCAAATCAGTGCCGAAGCAGCCGTATGAATGTCAAGGCAACATCTGAGCAGTGTCTAGACCTTGAAACTTTTTCGCAGGAATTGAATGATGGGGATGTTTTTTTCACTTCTCCGAACGGCACTAACTCCGAAACCTGGAAACCCAGATCTAAAATGTTTAGAAATAGATTCTTGAATCTTGTACGTCTTCGTTCTTTTCTCAACAATGCTGCTGAATCATTTTTTAAAAGTGAAATACGGCGAAGGTTGTTTGTAACAGCAGTGCTAATTGTAATAAGTCGTATTGGATACTTCATTCCTCTTCCTGGGTATGATCGGAGGTTGATACCACAAGATTACCTTAGCTTTGTTTCTGGATCTGTTGGTGAGTTCATGAAATTACTGTATGTGCATGAGTTATCTACGTTGTGTATTCATATGTTGCAGAATTCAATTTCATTTTGGGCAAATTACTTGGGTGATGTTGACTCTTTTACTTATATTCATGTTTGTGGCAGATGAACTTGGTGATTTTACTACGGAGATGAAAATGTCTTTTTTCCAGCTAGGTATCAGTCCTCAGATTATTGCATCAATCATCATGCAGGTTTAACATTTTCTTCATATCTATCTTCAATGCTTGGTATTGACGTAGAAAGTGAAATACACAATAAAGGCATTTAAGAATATTGAAGGGCTTGTTCCCTTTAGAGAAACTTGGCTGTGAAATATTCCGAAACTTGCAGTATTGGGAAAGTTCTAATCCAAGTCTACTCAATGAATACAATATAGGTAAAACTTTTAAAAAGTAAATAACCTTAGTAGCCACTATTCTTAGTAACAATTCAGTTAAATTAAAAATTTAGTTCATGAACTTTGAGGATTGTGTCTATTATATCCTTTGAAACTTTCAAAATTACAAATTTATTCCTTGGAACTTTTGAATTGTTTAAAAATTTCAGATTTACTGAACGTAAAATTCCTTCCAAAGAGCCCAATGGAGAGCTTTACATGCATTACTCCACAAGACTCTTGCCTTCTCTTTGAACCACAAACTGGACAGCCACTCAAGAAGTCCATCTTCTATTTCCTTTTGAGGGCACCAACCAAATTAAAATAATTGATTAGGTACATCCAGCCTTTATAAGAAAACTCACAGTGAAGAAAATGGTGATTGCTAGATTCTTCATTCTTGTTGGAGATGACCATTTGGAGAGATAGCCATACTTGGATTTCTTCTTTGAATTCTATTCAGTATTTGGTCTTCCATGAGTTAAAGACCAGAGAAAAAAAGTTCAGTCTTGGGACTTTTCCATCCCAAATCCCTTCGGCTAGATATTGATTTAAACAGGCATAATCCCCTCAGGAATCCAAAAATCTGTTCTTCCTCTGAATTCAGCTTCGTAAGCCCATAATGTTCACCAACAGGATTTTGTTCATAAATACTGTTGGTGAACATTATGACTTTAAGAGTATGAGCTCAAACCACTATCTACCACTTTAATTGTATGACTATGGTTAAGGAAGAAGAATACTTTTGCAATTACCTTAATGATTTAATTTATTACCCAAGCAAATTTGAATGCATTAGGAATTTAAAATGCATCTAATGTTTCTTTGTTCACCATTAGTAATTCACTCACGATAGAATCAAAGTAAGTTCTAACATATCATTGCATTGAGGCAAACTACTATGCTTAAGTCTTTTCCATGCTCAAGCTGTTTTTCATGGGTGGTCCTAATAGTTGACTCCATGATGAGTTTCCAGGGGCAATACCTCTTGTTGATGAACGTATTTATGAAAGTTATTTTGTATCTTTTGTTTTATTTATTTATTTATAGTAATAGTTTTTATTATTGTATTGCATCCATGTTGGACTGAATGTCGATGCTTAACTTCTCAAAATTGATGCATAGGTACTCTGTCACATTTTACCCTCCTTAGTAAAGCTGAGAAAAGAAGGCTTGGATGGTCAAGAGAAGATCAAGAGTTATATGTATGTCTGATACTTCATTCCAACCATTGATCTACATCTTTCTATTAATTTCGCAAGCTTATACTCATTTTCTTCCTTTTTTGATGGAATTCCTACGAACATCACCATGTAACATCAGATGGTGGATGTCACTTGGCTTTGCAATAGTGGAGGCTTTAGTTCTATCTTGTTACTCACTCCCATACTCAATCTATGCAGCAAATCACAGGTAAATTTTAGCTATAAGAGCATCAGTTTGAATAGTATTTTGGGCTTTTGAGCAGTTGTATAGGATTATAGTCTCAGTTTAGACAGTGAAGTAAAATATCCTTTTCTATAGTAATATCTTTTCATTATCTTTTCATTGGTGCATGTTGTATGTTCATTTCTCTTCCAGCGTCAATATTGGTTTTTGCTTTCATTTAACTCGATTCTCATGCTTATTTTTATCGTAATTGTTGGTTCAAGTACTTTTATTCCGAGAATTGGGGGTGCATCTTAAAAAGAGAGATGTTAAATCTTTAAAAGAGAGATAGAGAGTGAAGGTTGCATAGTGTTCATAAAGGGGGTTATTCTTAATTCCTTTTTTTTTTTTTTTTTTTTTTTTTTTTTTTTTTTTTTTTTTTGTAGAGTTAAGCATGTGATGGTGACTACTTTCTTATTGGTTTGTGGTGCTATGACAATGACATGGATTTGTGACACCATCTCAGAGTCTGGATTTGGTAGGTCACTTCTTTCTCTCATTTAATTTTGATCACTTGATCCATTGTTTTATGCTCTTCTTCATTATTTATGGTTCAAGACACTTGAGAGATTCGTTGTTAATAATGTTCATCCATTAACTGAAGAATATATAGTCGGTATATTATTGTGTGCCTGCCTGTGTACGTATGTATGAGTGTGTGATTGCACACACGTATAAATGTGGGGATGGGGTGTTGTATCCTTGGCGCTTCAGTCTCCCATCTATCCTCTCTATGATTCAACTCTTGGCTTTACTATTCTATCCTTTTCCAATTTACGTTTTCTCTATCTAGATGATGTGTTTTAAACCACCTCACGAAGAATCTTGTACCATATTCATAAACTTTGTAATGGATGCTTCTTCTCTGTTTAACAAGTAACGCTTGTTGCAGGGCAAGGTTCTTCTCTAATTATATGCGTTGGAATACTGTCGGGCTATACAGAGACATTGTACAAAATGTTGTCTCAGCTATCAGGTATGCAATTAAACTTGATGGTTTAAAAGTTACATACCCTTTGGAGTTGCTTTCATCTGAGTCCCAATCCACTTCATCAGATGTGCTATCCAGATCTTGCTAGAAGACTAAGACCTATTTCTTTTTACTCCTCCAATCATCCATTACTTCAATGGCTATAAGAATAGAGTCAATAATTTGCCTTTCTTTGATAAATGCCGCCTGATAATGTGATATAGTGGAGATGAAAGCTTCCTTTAGGCAGCCAAGTATTTCGACTAAGAATTTTAGAAGCAAGTTAAATTGTATTAGTAATGTGATGTCTAACTGACCAAGGTGACCCAGAACTTCCCCATTCAGAACATAAGCTTTGCTTTACCCAATTCAATTTCTTGGGAAAGGAATCTAGGTTTTACATTTTTTTTTTCTTTCCATTATAAGACCGTCTTTGTAGTTAAGTAATGATCTATCTTTTGGAGTCTAATACAAGAACATAACATCTTCATTACAAATATTGATTATTATTTTATTTGTTGTTATTTTTAATCCTATGTACTACCATTACTTGTTACTAGATCTGGCCGACCCCTATCTGTAAGAAACGTTCACCAAATTTCAAGATGAGAAAGGAAGCCTGGATGAGAGAGGCACAAGTGTCCAAAGCTAAAGATATTAGGATCCTGCTTAAAATTTTCAGCTTTAGAATAAAAAAAGGGAATGGTCCAATATCTCTACTAAAGCTTACAGTTCCATTAAGTAATTTTTCAAAAAAAAAAAAAAAAAAAGTTAAAAAAGGGTTNTTTTAAAAAAAAAAAAAAAAAAAAGTTAAAAAAGGGTTATATAACCTTATTTGGAAAAACCAGGTCAAATATCATCTTGGCCCAATGTTTTAGCCTTTAAGTCAATCTATCCAATTATTCTAAGTCAGATCCTTGTAAAAGATTATTTTTAAATTTAACCAATAATCCCATGCTAGTCAATATTTATCGTAAGGAAAAATCAAGAGAAGAGAAAACTGTAAGATGAAATAAAACAATGCTGATAATTGTTAGGGATGCCAGCAGTATCGTGTTCTATGAACTTAGTTCTCAACTGAATTCCTATATTCCATCTGGGTGCTGTTAGTTGAGGATTTATGACGGAATTTTTTAGTCTGGTAATAAATTTATTCAGTAAGGAAGGTTTACAATCGAGGATAATGCTTGATGTACATTGTTTGTGAATTTACTAAGGTACAATTGTTTTGAATAGAGTAAATAAATATTATGTGTACTCTTTTCCCCCCTTAAATTTCCATCAGCTACTTGTGAAATCTTTCAGTTTTTTGACTACTTAAAAATGTAACATATCACAGGACGTACTGTGATTTGGTGGCCGTATGTACTTGCCTTATTGGCCATTTTTACCGTAGTTACGATGTGGGCAGTTGTTGTAACCGAAGGTTGCAGGAAAATTAAGCTTCAGTATTATGGTTTTAAACTTGCTTCAGCTGCGAGGTATTCTGATTTTTTTTTTCGTGGAAAATATATATCATATATTTCTATTATCTCATGCTTCCATGCATTTGGTTTCTTGTCACAGTAAGCAGTTTCATAATGTTGAATGATGTTGATTCCATCTTTTTTTTTTTTTTTTTTTTTTTTTTTTTTGCCCAATGTTAGGGTAAAATAAAGTAACATCATGTGGTTCGTTTAATTTCATTCCTTCGGCATACATGCTGTTATCACTTGCCTCTCCTATGCTTGCATTGGCTATGTTTTAAACAGTTGTCTGGATTTTGTACTATGCTTGAGCCCATATCCGATTTTCCGATCTTGTCATTTTTGGTTGATTATCTATTTTACGATCCCCTTTTCCTTTTGGTTTCTTTCCAGAGAAGACTCACCAATCACTGAAGTAGAGCCTTATATACCTTTTAATATCAATCCTGCTGGGATGCAACCAATTCTCACGACCACTTATCTCTTGGCGTTTCCCAGTATACTTGCCAGGTTGTTATATAACATATATCCTTCGTTGCATTACAATGGCTAAAGTTATATACTTTATGTGATTGATATCAACTTTTCTTGTGGAGATTATGATGCAATTTCTAACATCAGGTTTTGTACACAGCGTCCTAAATTCAACATTCTGGGTGCATGTAAAGGAGATACTGAACCCTGAAAGTTCTATTGGTGCAGAGCCTTGGGTTTATTACTTAATATATGCGGTTTTTGTATTCTTGTTCAATATATTTGACATTGTAAGTTTCTTTACCTCATGTCTTTGGTTTTTAAATGATTATTGCATTCGCAAGCTGCCAACATCTCTAGAATTTTATATTTTCTTTTGGCTAAATACATGACTTAGGCTTAATGTTTTGATGTTTTTCTGATTTAGTGTGATCCAGACAAACTTTACCATTTGGTACATATAACATCCACCACCCCTGGAAAAGTTGTTAATATGCAAAAATTGAAACTTTTTAAACAAAGGGATTAAATTGCTGGCCATAGTGGGGCCACCTATCTAGTGTTTAATATTCTACCAGCCTTCTTGAAAATTGTAATAGGAAAACTGTTATCCCATTAGAATAGTTGAGATGATATTCATTTACCTGTCTAGGCCAACTTGCCAAAAGAGATTTCAGACTATTTAAATAAGATGGGAGCAAGGATTCCAAACATTAAACCCGGGAAAGCTACTATAGAGTACCTCACGAAAATTCAAGCATCAACACGCTTTTGGGGTATGTTTAATCATTCAATTTGTGTTTATAATGACATTGTCTTTCCCAGCTTACTAATATTTCATATTTTGGTTGATTGATCTCTTAATTTGATTTTGCATGGTGGCAAATTTCAGGCGGGCTATTGTTGAGTTTCTTGGCGACAACGTCATCTCTTCTCGACCATTACTTACGCAGTATTAATGCCGGCTTTGCTATTGGTTTTACATCAGTTCTGATCATTGTAAGTACAAAAATGTTTGTCATTGTCTTATCATATGCTTCAGTCATTGGAAAATGCTATGACAATGGTTCTCACCACACACACTTCTAATAGGTTTAACTAAGGCAATGCAACTAATCTGGTCATTGGGATTTTGATAGAAGTACCAATAATATACCCCATTAGAGGAAAATGTGGTAGATTTGTTATATTAATAAACTGTTCAAGCTTTCCAATGTTATCGATGAGCTCAAGTTGCTGCATGTTCATTGTTCAGGTGGGTTCTATTATTGAACTCAGAAGATCTTACCAAGCATATAACGTAATGCCAAGTTTAAGCAATGCTTTGAGGCGTTATGGTGCATGACACAACTAGTTCAAATGATGCTCCAAGCGGCTCTGTATTCGAGCTTCTAAAGGATCCAACAATCTTCAAAAGTGTTTCAAAATCATGTGCATCCGTTACACCGTAAACTAATGCAAATATCAGGAAAATTTTGATTCTCTGGACTTGGAAACACGGTAGGTTTTACTTCTTGTAAAGGATATTATATGATAGCCTAGAATCTGTGAAATTATGACACTGAAATTGTATGGGCTTAGGGTTTAGGGTTTATGTAAATTGAGGAAAAGCAAGTGTTGATAAGTTACAGCTTAGCAAGAATACCTCTGGAGAAAATTTCACTGGCAATCTCCTTTGCACCTGTTGGTGTTGGACGGCGGCGGCCGAGTGTTGGGTCTTTGTGGTCTTGATGGGCCCATTGTTGAATCCACCCTCCCAAACCGACATCCCGATTTTGATGAGATGCTTCTAAGAGATTATGTCTATCAGTGGAAGTCTATGTACTTTGGCACTTTTATTTTTATGCAGATATAATGTGACAGTCTCATTAATGAAATTTTTATCGGATAGTCTGGGGGCATTACATTAATAAAATGCTTTAAAACGGGTCGTATTTGATTAATTTAAATCCTATATTTGGTATTTCGACTTTCAAATTTTCTCTTTTTTGGTCCCTTTTGTTAAATTTTGTTCTCGAAAATTTTTAAATATCTATTTATATCCCTGAAAATGTTTAAAGAAAATTTTATTTTTAACAAATTAATAATGTAACTTGGGGAGTACTTTGTATTAATATGCTAATATATAAACACCAAAATTTAATAATCAAAATGAATGTTCTAGAAAATAGCCTATTTTATTTAAAATGGTAGAAAAGAATATTTGGATTGCCTTTTTGAATTAAAAAGTTTTCAAAATAAAAGTCAAAATTGGTGCAACTTTATATGAATAAATTGAATTTTAAATTGAAAATGTTATTTTGCCATGATTATTGGTTAACAATGAAGTGAGTTTGTACGGCAGAAAAGGGATAATTATTATTGGGACTAAGAAAAGATTAATTAAAATATTTAGCAATTAAATGGTGTGTATATGATTTAGTGGATACTCCACTTATTCCCAAATGTTTTTTTTTTTCCTATGAATGAACTATTTGTTTACTTAAAATTATTAATTAATTAGCTAATTAGGATTAGTTAATTTATGTTACTTAATTTATTTTTATTAAGATAATTTGAAAATCATAATTAATTGATTCAAATTAATTAAATACTATGAACTAACTCATTAGATGTAAGATTGAAAACCCATTTGCATTTGCAGGGAAACAAGTTGAATGCTAGTTGAAATATCTTTGAATCCCATCATGTAGACACCATCCATGTGTAGAGCACCATAAATTAGGTCATCTATATAAATATATGTATACGGTACATGTCCCAATCGCTTTATAATATCTTACCCGTACACTTAATACTCTTCCGAAGAACATACGAGTCAGGACAAACTACCTAATAGTTCTCACACATTTTCCTGCAACATGATAATTCAAGATCCTTCTCATTTGAATATGGTCTTGGTTTAATCACGTACCCTTCTTTTACTCGGGTGTCACAAGGAAAATCTTTAACTCTTACCCGCATCTCAAGACAAGTAGGTAGTGTGATTAGGTCATAAAGGGTTCAAGGGAATATCGGGCAATTGGGTTTCAAATTTTGATTATGATCTTGGTCCAAATCATTGACATTGGAGAAAAGAATCCCTTTTAGTGCGACATGGATGCGAAAAATGAACCAGTACCACATCCGATCGAGAGAGAACCTCGAGACGAAATTTTAAAGCTAAACGTGTTGGAGTGGGAAAAGAGTTTGAGATTGAGTTGAGGGAGAATGTTGGAGGATGGGATTTTATGGAGAGGAGGAAGAGTGGGAGGTGATTGGAGGAGGGGGGAATGATCAGGTGGGATGACGCAGCATTACACTCAGTAGAAGACTACTGAATATTCTATTATATAAATGGAAAGAGAGACAGAAAAAGGTGGTGTCAGATTGTCAGTGCGTGCGGATCTGGCTTGGCGTGCACGTGTACGGAGGATGTTCCGTGCCACGGAGTGTCAACCGTACATTGGTTGGTAGCACCCACCTACTCCACTATTATTATCATTATTATTATTATTTTTTATTTTACCTCTCTTCCAATTCCTTTTAATAATTATATTTTCAATTATATACATCACGCACACACACGTGCACACGTGCGCACACACACGTGCACACACGCACACTCGTGCACACACACCTTCACATTAAGAGTCGAAAAGTTTCGGTAAAAATAAAATGCACTGATTAAGAGTGTTCGTGAGTGAGATAGAGACATTGCATAGGCCCAAAATATATATTTATTTATTTTTGAATATTTAATTAAATCTACCCTAAAAAATTATTTTTAGGAGTGGTGGGAGAATAAATAATCAATAATAAATTAAGGTCGGTTTAGTTTAGGGAGCTCCCGAACCAACCAAATCCAATGCAAACTACACAAGTTGGGTGGAGTTGGGTTAATCGAACTTTTCGAGTCTTTTGAACAGCTACAGCAACAATGAATGCATGAGACGATCAGACGTGCCAATTTTACGAGTTTTAATTTACAATATAATAAATATAAATATAGAAAAAGAAAATTAAATGATGAGGGGTTTACAAGTGGGGGAGGATTGGATTCCTTAAATTACGCCTTCCACGCTTTAATTAATATATTTAATAATGCTTTATTACAATAATTTTAAATTAATAAAGTAACCACTTTTTCATAATCACCATCCAACCCAACACTAACACAAATTAATAGCTCTTTCCGTGTTTATCCAATATATATATATATATATCTCAATTTTTTGTTAATTAATTATATATTCTTTTCGTGTTCATAGGACCTTATAATTCAATCAATCCAAACTACTTAACTCAACCCGAACAACCTGGCCAACCCAAGAGTAGGGTTTGTAGGTTGATTATTGTTTGTTTGGATCAACCTGACCAACCCGACCAACTTGACCAACCCAAGAATAGGGTTACAACTCAACCTTACTTTTAAGATTATTATGAAAATTAAGAATATTTGTCGTTTGTAACTGATGTTAGTGATCCATTACAACTTGTGGATGTACTGTGAATAAGTAGAATATTTTTAAATAATTACATATAAAAGAAAAAAACGAAAACTCAACCCAACTCAAAAATAGAGAGTTAGGGTTCGGGTTAGATTGTGTTCAGGCAGCTAAGATCACTAACCCAACTAGTCTAACCAACCCAAAATTTTGAGTTCGTCCAAAAGATTTCGACAACCCAATCGAACACAACTCGTGTGCACCGCTCCTGTTTTGTGATACATTATAATATAAAACAAGATTCGATTCACGACATGCATGAAGTAACGGTTTGACTATGAACTAAAAATAGGGTCGTTACAGTAAATTAACAGAAATTAACCCGATGACAAATTAATTTCAACTCTCAATTCACGTTTGAGGTTGGAAATTGATACCATCGTTCGAAAAGAAGAAAGAAACCAAATTAAATAATAATAAGAAGAAAAAGAATTTGAAGTGCCGTACAATTGTAACAACATTAATAATAATGTACGTTATTTTAATATAATTTGTAGGCCAAAACCCTTTTTCTTTTATTTAATTTAATTTATTTATTTAATACGAAAAATCCAAATAAATTTGAAAAGTAATATCAAACAAGATCACGTAATAGACAGTTGAAAGTGGGAAGAATGAGATAAACACTCACAAAATTTCATATAATATAATCATATCTACGCATAATATGAAGCCATTTGTGTATATTCCAACCAATTATACTTAGGCCTTTGCATTTTATTATACATTAACTCACTTTTTTACTTTCTTATCTTATCCTTTTACCTTTAAATATTGAAAAATTACGCTAACGTACGGAACTTTACTGCTCGAACGTTTTAGGTTAGGCTGGGTGACCTCTGTTGCTCGACATGTTTTGTATGAATGTTTGTAAAATTGTCGGGTATGATGTGGAAGCCGTGAATGTTATGTAATGAGAATGAAAGTCGGTAGGTATGTATGCTTGTCATGTATGTTTTTCTATTGTATAGTGCGGTTAAACAGATATTTTGTATGTGGGTCATCGTTAAAAGTCGGGAAATATTTAAACAGGTTTCTTTTTTTTAATATAAGATTTGGCTGTATGAAAGGTATTCGTGTCTAGAGAACTTAAAATATATGAAAGTTACGTATCTTAGAGTGTGAAGTCCCATAGCGGTTGGAGAAGAGAACAAAGCATTCATTAAGGGTATGAAACCTCTCCCTAATAGACACATTTTTAAATCATGAAGTTGACGATGATATGTAACGAGTCAATATTAGCAGTGGGCTTGGGCAGAAACCTCTCCTTAGGAGAAGCGTTTAAAACTGTTAGCGAGTCAAAACAGACAATGTCTATTATTGGTGGACTTTAGACGCGTTTTAAAATTGTGAGAGTGACGATGATATATAACGGGTCAAAGCAGACAATATCTATTAGCAGTGGACGTAAACTCTTAAATGAAAAGAAATACACAATGCAAAAGTGATAATTATTAGTGCATATAATATAATTATTCATCATGATTCAATATTGCGCCTCAACTTGTATGGCTACAAATATTAGTGATGCGATATTATATTTTGAGGGCCACTTGATTTAAGTGCTTATTCTCCATATTTATCACTACATCCCACATTCTTTGTCCACAAATAACTTGTCTAGAATTTTCTTTTATTTTGTGGGTAGCTTCAACCCATGTGTGTGCATATACCTCGACCCAACTTCGGGTTTGACGGTGGACTTGAAAAGCTACCTGCAGACGTCTTACACTCAATCATTTTGAATAACGCTTCGATCATCTGTATTTTTGCGACTGCTGACATAGTGTTAGTCGATACTTATTCTTCGTTTTACACTCAATCATTCGGAATAACGCACGATCCTCCATATTTCTGCAATTGTTGGCATCGTGTTAGTCGATACTTATTCTTCAGATACCGTCATACTTCTCCAGGAAAAGAAGTTCATGATTTGTAGGTCTTTTATCTCCATGCGGCATTGCTTCGTTAGGATTTCGCTAATTACAGGAAATTTTCCAATATTGCCTCTTATAGGAGTTTGGGTCGTGTCTCAGTCCTAGTGTGGTTGACCATGAAGTAAATAATGTGTCATTTACAAGTTTTGTTAGTTATCTTTCCAGTTGTTCTTAAGTTTTATTCACCATTGATTCCGAGTGTTAAAAGGTAGTCAACTTCTTCTAGTTTAGGTTGTTGACTTTCCACATGCTTATT